GATCGACATTTCACGTCTGAATTTTTAATTTTAATCTCCATAACTGTGATCCTAGAAATTATTTTACGGAAGGGTAGGTTCTACGAGTGCAACTTTTTGCATTTTTTTGTGAATATTAATTTACGTTGTCGATGCATACGCGTCTATTTAAAAAGCACTGACACGTACCACAATAGATCAAATTTTAACGTTTAACCTAAGATAAACCGAACGCCAATATGAAACTGAATTACCTCCCGATGAGAAATTTTCGTACTTTCAGAACTGAAGAGTTTTCTCAAACAGTGCTTGTTCCGCGTCTCCGGAAAAAAAAAAATGAATGAAAACATTGAGACACGGTATTATTTTAACCCCAGTAAACCCTATCTCCACCTCGAAATTAATTAAAGATAAAAAGAGTACAAAACCTTCAGAACCTGCCTTATAATGTAGTTAAAACAAAATATAGACGCTCACTATTGTAATTTGAAGATGCATATTCAGTTGAGAAGAAAATTAGAACAAACACGAGCTTAATACATCATTAGGACAAAAAGAAACCGATAAATTATAAATCATTTTTTTTAAATTAACGAATAAAGATATAAATGAAAAACGGATAAAAAAATTAAGAGAATTAATGTAAAAATATATACTAGTGAAATGAAATAATGTAAGCTTGAAAAAAATATAATTTGTTAGAAGAGCACTAATAGAAGTAGATAATGTATTATAGTTATTTTAAAGAGCAAGAAATTAAATAACCCAAAGCGATGTATGGTGTATATATATATATATATATATATATATATATATATATATATATATATATATATATATATATATATATATATATATATATATTCTATCAAAACAAATCAGTTAACCTATATGGCGAATACACATTACGTTATAAATGACCAATGCAGGATATCTGTACACAGGCGTTGAACCAACAAATTTTTACATTAATATTAAATAAACTGTACAGTTTATTACACAAGAGATTGCCCAAATAATAAAAATATAGAATACTATTATGTAGCAATAACGGTGTTTGATTGTTTAAATATTATGTGAATGGTGCATGAATTGAATGGCCTTAGAAATAGATTTTATTCCTGATTGGCTCACATAGGAGGAAAATAAAAGTATCAAACATTTTCTTCAGAAAACGTAAAGTATTACAAAAAAGACCTGTAAAAAAAAAACGTACAGCAATACAAACAAGGTCTATAGAAGACGTAAAACAATACAAACAATGCCTGTAGAAAACATACAACAATACAAACAATGCCTGTAGAAGACGTACAGCAATGCAAACAATGCCTGTAGAAGATGCGCAGCAATACAAACAAGGCCTGTAGAATAATGTACAGCAATACAAACAAGGCCTGTAGAAGATGTACAGCAATACAAACAAGGTCTATAGAAGATGCACAGCAATACAAACAAGGCCTGTATAAGATGTACAGCAATACAAACAATGCCTGTAGAAGATGCGCAGCAATACAAACAAGGCCTGTAGAATAATGTACAGCAATACAAACAAGGCCTGCAGAAGATGTACAGCAATACAAACAAGGTCTATAGAAGATGCGCAGCATTACAAACAAGGCCTGTAGAATAATGTACAGCAATACAAACAAGGCCTGTAGAAGATGCAAAGCAATACAAACAAGGCGTGTGTAGGATTAAAACAATACAAACAAGGCCTGTAGAAAACGTACAACAATACAAACAATGCCTGTAAAAGACGTATAGCAATGCAAACAATGCCTGTAGAAGACGCGCAGCAATACAACAAGGCCTGAAGAAGATGTACAGCAATACAAACAAGGCTTGTAGAAAACGTACAACAATATTTGCGAAAAATTTAACCAAATTTACGTGTATGGAAAAAAAAGATGTCTCCTGAAAATTACAATACGTTACAGTCACGATTCCATCAGCTGTAAAAAGCATTAGATCCAAGAAAGCAATATACGACGAAATCTACCGCTCCGGTGGCTTTAGTGGTTTAGTGTCCACCTCGAATGTGGAGGTCGCGGCTTCAAACAACGGCCGAGTCACACCAAAGACCAACTTTCTTCAGAATATTAGTGCGAAGAATATTTTGCTTTCCTTTTATGTTGATCTCTTTGTCAAACATTGTAACATTTTCCTTTGCAAGATATGGCTCCTTTCATTGCAGGAACTTGTCATGCTCGTTAAACAAATGCAATGTTTCCTTCTTACAGTTATGTTGTTCTGTCTTCTGAGTGTAATATCTCCTGAATTACTTTGCCATGGTTTGCTAATATTCTTTTGTCAATTTACAAAATTTCTTCCAGCTGTCGCGTAGTTCGAAGACATACTAGTAGGTTGTTTGGACTTTTAGGTTATGTTCTTCATTCATAAAATATATCCTCCAAACTGCAGAAGTTGTTTCACTTGGGCATTCAAAGAAATGTCTGTATGGTTGAAGAAGCTCGAAAATTAGGATATTTGTAACTTTAAGCATGGAGAAACTGTGACTAGTCTAACAAGAAGTGTATCTGCTAAATAATTAGTCCTACAACGTAAGACCCACCAGGGAGTGATGTGTCTTACTTCCTACGTAACGGCGTGGTGTAGCGTGTTTTGATGTCGGCTAAAAGTGTAACGAAAGTCAAATTTTCAGGATATCACACACAACTGGCAACCAATAACAACGCTTTACTACAAAGTAAAGTTATGTTTTTGTGAGATTTTACTTATCCTGATGACTTTTCTCTAATAAATTCAAATTCTCACAAAAGAAATGGGCCTGTTTTCAAAGTAACGTAGGCCTAAGCAATTTTTAGATTTGTGTGATTACATTCCGGTGCAATGGAAATATTCTTTAGCCTGAAATAATTAACCAATTACCAGGAGCAAACGTCACGGAAAAAAGTGTTAGTGAGTTTCCATGATGCCATAGCCAATGTGTAGCGAATTCAGACCCGCATGACCGTCCCTGTCATAATGTAGTCCTTAATAAAGTCTAGTGGTGTACATTAGTGTTGTGACTGCAGTTTCAGTATTTACGGTATGAAACCGGTAAATTACACAATGGAATAAACAAGAAAGGACTTGGCTGATACAGTTTATGTAGCCATGGTGGTAAATGTGATGCAGATGTACTAGTGTGGTGTTCCTTGAAACCATATATTGACTGTCTTAATGAGGCGTAGATAGAATAGTTACCTGTATTAATGAATAGTTGTAGAGTTCATATGACGTGAACTGTTGACGGTACGGAAAGTTGATGAAGAGAAACTATGCAGATATGTGGGTGATATATATTTAGCAAGTTGTGAATAATGTGGTCCTGCATTGATCAAAGTAAAATTTATGCATAGAATGGACCCGTCGGGCTTTCTAAATTACAACTGAAGATGTATAGAAGTCTTTGAACATTTAGGGTAAACGTATGACTTCTTGCGGGAATCGCGCCAAGGTTTTGACACCGCTCAGTCAAGCGAAGACCCCTCGCTTGTAGCAATATAAATAGCCCAAATAACAGATTTATTTTATTTTTTTTAATATTTGAAAATTATGCTAAGTGCCGTGTTTAAACATTGACACATAATCATTATTCACGCAGGGACAAAATTGTTCTTCTCCAATATATAGCAGGTAGGAAACTAATACAGTCGAACTATTGGTTGTATTTCCAACTCGTTCCAAAAGCTAGTTTCTCTTGGCCTCAAAACAATGAAACACGCATCTCTAAAAAAAAAAAACCCACATAAATGTAAAGACAGATACCTATAAAGATTACAAAAGTATGAAAAACAGTTGAAACTGTCGCCATAATTTGAAAATGTTTCACTTTTTCATCTTTTTGTAATTTTTTTCGACGTTTAATTTGTACGTCGCGAAAATACTTCTTGGAAGGCATATATTTTAAACCTCGTGGATTTTTGCGATACCGGATGTAATGCTGCCTGAGTGAAAATAAATGCTTGAGCCTTTTTCACAATGGCTCTTTTGCTTTTTCTTTGTTATCATGAATCGCTAATGTCAGTGTCAGCCTTATACAAGTCTTGCTTGTGATTTCAACTAAGTCAAGTTTTTTGGTAAAAATGTGTTAATATGGTTTGGCACGTAAAAGTGTGAATGCTTATAACATCTTTACGATTTTTTTTTCAAGCTGCGTAGTTTTTGCATGTTGTCCGCATTCCCATAATGCTTAAATTGAAGTGATCTCTTTAGAAAAGTGCTGGCACTAGTGAAGGCTGTTTATTATATCCGTTCGCCAGAGTAGTGAGAATGCAGCAAATGGTCTTGTACAAGTTTACTGTTTCAATCCACACTGTAGCATGCTTTTCAGAGTTGTGATTTCCATCATTTGGCATTTACAGTTATTTGGTATAGAGTTAAATATGCTACGTTTTACATTAGACAATTTCTTCACATATTATTCCCATAAAATTACAGAGTCAGACTCGTTTTTAGTTGTTATTACGGTCGTTTTTGCCTTCAGATCTGACGAGAACAAATTAAAAATTAACACCCGAAAGCTTTGGCTTTCTCCATTTTATGATACTTCTCACGAATCGGTTGAAAAACTAGGTCAAAACAAGACCAGGCATTTCGGCAAAAAGTGTCTGATTTAAACTGGTGGTGGCAAGTGGTGTTTCGTATGGTAAGTGTGTCACATAAGGTGCAGTTGATAGTGTTAATACATTTTGTCCTAGTTTCCTCTATAATTTCTCACCAGTTTTAGATATTTTGGAAAAAAATATTGAACACGAGTGTGTGAAATGGATGTGATGTGTTGTGATGTGATTATTTTTAATGTAGCTTTAACAATGTTTCAGTCTTATTGCTACGATGGCTGCAGTGTGGCAGTTTATATTGATGTCTAGTGCTGGGGCATCATGCCGCAGACATGTAGCACGATGTCCCACCCAGTCACATTATCATGACACCAGGCCAACCAGTCCATCACTAACCTCTTAATGCTGAGCGTCAGGCGAGGCAGCTGTTAGCACCATTTTTGTAAGTCTTTGATATGACTCGACCTGGAATCGAACCCACGACCTCCCGCATCCGAGGCGGACGCTCTAACCACTAGACCACCAGAACGGTTGGGTGTGAAATGGAGGAAAATCAAACCATATAACACTGTCCGGCTCGTCCGTCATAAAACTTTGCTCAATATTTATTGACAGTGGCGTACTGAGGGTACTTAGTGCCCGGTAACAAAACATAAACTTGACGCCTCCTTCGAGTGCATCTTAGATAACGAATAGTTGTATTTTCCTCATTTTGGCGCCCCTGGCACATGGCGCCAGGGGACAACTGTTCCCGCCCTCCACAAGCTACGCCGCTGTTTCTAGTATTATCTTTACTCTAATCAGGAAAATCAAAACTTAAAATGTACAAGTACAGTTTGGGTGGGTGAGTGTTTGATCAGAATATTTTCGAGTAAGATTTTGAGTCAAGTAAAATTTGATGACGGAGGAGTCGGAGAAGTTGTAGTTAAGTTCGTTGAGCCCACGCTGAATATACGACAAAAAGAGGATTAGAAGAAAAAAATAGTTGGTACATGGGAATGTTTGCAAAGTAGAAGGAAAGCATTTTCTAAAAAATAAATTCTTTGCCTGAAGGAAAGATTTTGTAACAATTAGAAGTACTGGATTTTTTTTAATGCACAGGCAAGTTTCCCCAATGGCGTTAGTGAAGCAATGTTATGCAGGATTCATGAATATAGTTTATGTTTATATTCATATATTCTCTAAACATGGTACACTACTAAGTGTAACTCAATAATTCATTTCATTTGCTCAGTTTTATTCGCTGCTATTGAAAATCAAGGTTGGCATATAAGAAGCAAAAAGATTATGTATATGAATATTTATGATACAATTGCAAATAATGTATCAGAGTATGCATTGATACATTGTTTCGCAGTACTTAAAAATGAATCTCTCATACATTCGTAATTTATTAATCTCCATATACATGCTTGAAATGTGTTTTAAAAAAAGGGTACACTTAATCCATCCAAAGTTGTCCTTTTATCAATATCCATTACTTCAATGATTTTTCCTAATTCATGAAACATTTTCCCTGCGTTTTGTTTTCTGATAAAGAGTTATAGATCTCCAATGTATGCCTTTAAACATTTGCTGATAGTCATTCGAAATATCTAACGCATTGTGAGTGAATGATCAACTGTCATGAAATATGCACTCGTGCCGGTAAATTTTACAGAACTTGCTATAAAACATGTCTTTTTCTCGTTGATTCCTTTGATATTCCCAAAATATGACATAAAAATATATTAACAATATTTATAAATGCAAATCTAAAACATACACAATTAATTGTATCAACGTGAAAACAATAGCCCACTGTAAATATCTTCCCCCATCTTAAAATATATAATCAAATACTTGAATTCCCGGATATGGTACTTTTTTCCTTTCTTATCCGATAATTGTTTGTAACGAAACATGAAAACAAAAACTGTCATCATTATGATTATTTGCACAACTTTATACCAAAATCAGAATAAAAAGACAATACTGGTGAGTTTCTATGTTAACATAGAAACATATTAGTCACTTCAATATGTGTCGGTCTATCAGAGCACGACAATCTACCCAGGCTCTCAAATGATGGCTTACAATCAGTAATAACGCAGTGTCTGGAATACAACTGTCGTAGTCTGAATACAGAGTGCATTTTGCAGTGTACAGTTTCGTTGTATATACTGAAATGAGGATTTTGCAAATGTGAGTTAGACCGTATAATTTATGTTATCTAAAAATCATATTTATTTTATCTATGACATTTTTTAATATCTTCATCTTATTTGCATATGCCTTTAAAAAATCATGATTGATTCTTCAAAATTTTGTCCACTACATATTTTTGGGTATTTACATATAGAGCACTTGTTTTATTTACTAGCGCATGTGCAGTTGCATACACCCCTCTCTATCGTAGTATTTTCAAAGCATCCCTTTCTATCACAGTATCTTTATAACACTCCTGTTTATTTGAAAACATGCACAAATGGAAATGAATAATAGTGATGATAAGAAATCAGAAGTAAAATGAATTTTTGATACTTTAACGGTTACGGGTTTGAAGACTAACACAAAAACTTAAATATAAATACCCCATACAAATTCTTACTCAAAGCTTTTGGCTTCGCACGCTGCTGCTGCGTTACAGAGTTTATCAGACAATTATTCAGGTGCTCTACCATGGATTATGTAAACTGTTTGGTGGTTTTGAATATCTACTATTACAACAGCAATAACATTAGTACTTATACTGCAATTGTTATTTTATCTGCCAAAGCACCAATAGCACAAGTATTTTTAACTTCTATTGAATAATTACTATTTTAACAAAAATTGTATAGATAGGAAATAAAAGAATAAAATTTGACAACATATGAAAATTCAATTCCTGTTCCTAATAATGAAAATGAATAAGCTGTTAAAATTTTGTCATTTCTTTTCTTTAAATTCTTGTTAAAACATTTTCTAGTTTATCAAAACGAGATATTGGATCTGGCTCAGGTTGTTAATTAATAAAACTTTTTATTGTTTTCATTATCATTATCAATTATAATATTTAATTTTATATTCATTCCTTCTTCCAAAGTTTTTATAACCATATTCGGAATTAGATTATTTATATCATTACATCTTAATTTCACATCTGCACTTCATTTTATTTGATTTGATTGTTGTTGTGTCTAAACAGCTATACATTTATTGTTCCTAAACTATTTGCTAACTACTTTAGTTATACTAACTAATTAAAACTTTTTTGGACTAATTTCATGAATTCTGTTGTTACCTATTCGATAGATATTTATGATCCTATTAATGCTAATACACATATTACACCTGATTTAGTCTCGATATTCATTCTGATGTACAGCTTTGATTTGATCAATAGCAAAATATTTCCAGCCAGCTTTTTCAATATCGTTAGCTATTTAAGCGTTTATAATAATATTTAATATAATATTTAGTATTTCTACACATTGAAAATATAGTATCGTTGCAGTCAAATGTACCATCATGATATCTTTCTTCAGCAATTAATGATTCCAAAGCTTTTCAATACATCCAGGGTGCAGTTAAACGTCTGCTATTTCGATATAAAAGCTGATTATGTGGATCTACATTAAAAAATTACAACATATTTTGGTGTTGATTTAATTTTATATAATTATATTATCATTACCAATTGTATGCCCTGATACAGCTATTCATACTTCAGATATACGTTTTCAAAATCGAAAACAAATTTTAAAATAATATAATGATCGAATGGATTTTGGGAATCTAGTATCAAACGGAAACCACAATGACATGCCACTACCTGCTGTTGCAAACCATAATCCATTTTTCACGATTCTGCAAAAATTGTATAGCACTTTTAGATCTAGATCTATTAATTTCATTGTTATCAGTTAAGCGTATTGTGCAGTTTGAAATATATCGAATGGATTATGACTACAAAATGTATCCTAAGAATAATACTTATCAATTTGTCGGCACATATTATTCTCAAAATGTCTACTGTCTCTCCACTAAATTAACGATTAAATCCATATGTTGCAATATAATATCTGCTACTATCATTTTGTGTCAAACCTTATGTCACCAAATTTTATTTTACTATTCATTATTTATATATACTTTTTTGTTAATAATCGTTTGGATTGAATGGTCTAGTACGATGGTGCATTATGGGTCCCAAATAAACTATACTACAATCGTTCGACTTATCCCTGCGAAGCTACTTTTTTAATCATTAGTGGTAATTAAAATGAGCTATAATTTGAATAATCACCAATGACATATAACTTGATATTAATTTTTGCCATTAGTCCAAATTGGTCTTATTCTTTTGTTGTTGACCTCAGTTGGTAGACTATTCGGTTCTAATTCTGTAAAAATTAACCGTAAATGGGCATGACCGTACGCAGTGGAATATTCAATCCTAATATCATATAACATTAACCGTAAATGGGGTTGTTGACCTTTTGCAGTAGAATACTCAATTCTAACACTATAACATTAACTGTGAATGGGATTGTTGACCCTTTGCAGTTATCCATTTTAACACTAACAGCAATAGCAAATGGATTTGTTGACTTTGTGTAGCAGAATACTTAATTTTAGCACTTTAGAATAAACCGTAAATAATTTTGACCTAGTAGTAAAATACTCAATTCTAACACACTGCAAGATTAAGTGTAAATGAGTTTGTTAATCGTACGTAGCAGAATAATCAATTCTAAGATTGTAATGTTAACCATGCACTGGTTTGACCCTATGTAGTAGAATACTCATTTCTAACACTCCAATGCTAACGGTAAATGGGTTTGTTAATATTTTGTAATATAATATTTATTCATAACATTGTAACATTAACCGTAAATGATCATGTGGTAGAATAATCATTCCAAACATTGTAACTTTAACCGGATATGGGCTTGTTTACCGTATTTGTAGAATATACATTTCTAAAAATATAATGTTAACCATAAATGATCTTTTTTTATTGGAATACACATTCTAATACTGTAACATTTCTTTACTTTATCTAATGGAATACCATTTCTAGTAGTGTAACATTATTCGTAAATGGGGTTTTGATAATTTGGTCTTTTTTTACTCGTTGATTTAAATCAAGTCAACAATAAAACTCTTTCTCCTTGCAAATGAGCTATATTTTTTATAGACAAATTGACTTCCATCTACATACATTTTAAGTTTTACTTCTCTCCAAATTCTTTATGAGTGTATCGAATACGGAACGTTTCATTATTTTCCCTCAGAAGTAGATCTTTATGTCATTGTTAGGTTTTATTATTCAATTTTTATTATTCAATTTGTATTCAGTATCGATGTTAAATAAGACAGCTCTGTATATTATTGTACTTTTAAACCCAACGGTAAGTAAAGTTTCATTTCACTGGCATATTTATATTTATTGTTCAATGTGTACTGTAATATTGGTACAGTTTGTTTTCACTTTCTATTCGTGCTCTTTTTATGCTGTAACCTTGATATAATATTTTCTTAGCAAAGGGGTCGTTTCCAAAT